CCATGGAACGTGGTGCTACGAGGCCGCACGATTCAATCGCACTTTTTAAAGGCTTGTTCAATCTAACTCTTCCGTTGGTTGTAATTGTATTATTGGTTGAGTTGGTTAAAACTACCGGGGAATTTGGCAGATCGGTTTATTCTACCCCAACGAACATTTTAAGGCCGAATTAATTAAAATCAATTCGTCAACAAGATCATAGAGAATGTTAATCATAGAGCAGTTTATTCTTGTTTGCAAATGATTACTGTAGGGAGACCAAGTGCGCCCTCAGTTGTTCGTCCAAAAGTTTCGCGAGTGATTTGCATATCATGACCTTTGTGCTTCCCGAGCAAAGGCAACTTGTAACAAGTTTTCTTCTGTGGGACTTGAACAGGGAAGACCACCACAAATTTGGGGCATATATTCTCTCTATTTTGTAGGGCGCATGGCTCCGGCCATGCTCCAAATTTATATCATTTTGGAAGGTTAGTATTATAGATTCGTCCCTGTGAGTACTTTAGTTTATAATGTGATCTTTTTGTGAGAATATTGTGTTCATTTTGAGGCCGGATGATTCACGTCTGTAATCTGTAACATATGTAGCCAGCTGTGTGTTGACATTTGACCTTTATCGTTCTATTTTATTGTGCCTTACATTTATAATGGTTTATTGCTTTGTGTAAAGAATATTATCATCTTGACTCTTGTGTAGAAAATAATGTAAATACAAGTTCGGTAAGCTCATCTCATTGTCGTCGTCATGACATAGGTTCATAGTTTTACTGGCATATATTTTAGTGGAATACTCGTCCTCTTTAAATAGAGGGCCGGCCTCCTTTTGCCGTCCCGCTACATTACTAAACCGTAGAAACTAGTAGCTAATAAGAGGTGGGGGAGTGAGGGGACTTCCACCCAGTGGCGTATGCGGGACTAAGTCCTGCACTCTAAAAACTCCCGGGTCAAAATTTTGACCAACTCTGTAGGTCAGATTTTATTGACCCGTTTTGTGTCATTATGACCCAATACATGGTCATTTCACTGTGAAAATAGCTGACCATTTACGGGTCAAAAATAGTTAACTCCATTATGGATCATTTTTAACCCTGACGTCTTGGTCATAATTTACCGTAACCCGTTTTGTGTCAAATTGACCGTTAACATGGTCATTATCACTAAGATTTGATTTTGATAATTTCCTGGTCAAATATTGCCAACCCATTTTCATGTCATTTTAACCCATCCGGGTCAAATATTGCCAAACCACTTATATGTCATTTTAAACCATATCCATGGTCAAGTGTCCAAAATTTCGAGTTTTATTAACATGTCTCGCACAAGCGCCGTTTTTTGGACTAAATGTTGAGATTTTTTTGACCCCCTGATACCAAAAATGCTATATACTTAAGAAAAGAAAAAAAAGTCGGATAAAGTTACTTAAGAATGATACTCAACCAAAAAAGAAAGTCCCCCTTAATACTTGTCTGTCTGACTCAAAAACTACTAGGCACATTTTGCTCAAGTTACGACTGATCAGAACAAAATTTCCTTCGCAATTCAGCAGTACTCTTTGTTTCGCCTGAAACAGTGATAATGTGTACAAAATTATGCAATTTATGACCAATCGTACCGAAAAAGGTGCACTTTTGTATACGTGTTTTGAATATGTGAACCACAACATGCACGTATATAAAAGTGCAACTGTTTTCGATATCATTATTGAATATTCTGTCGCGGCCATACGCTGAATTGCGGGATATATATGATAAAAATGATAAGATACAAAAACGTAATATTCCAATCTCAAGAGAAGGACAAATCCCAGTTGGGCAGACAGGATTATCGGTAACCGATCTTCTTTCTGTTTTAGGTCGTTACATTTTTTTGACTGTATTTTCAACTTGGCCCTTTATTGAGTTGAATTACAATTTGAATGGAAGGGTCTATTTATATTCTGTCAAGACCATACGCTGAATTGTGGAAATATTTACCGTAAACTCATTAAAATTTAAAATGTATAATTCCTAACTAAAAAAAAGCACAAAGCCGCAGTTCGACCGACAGGATAAAACCGGATTATACCGATCCTCCTTCTCTCTTACTGGAGGTTAATGACAGGATTAAACCGGATTATACCGATCCTCCTTCTCTCTGACTGGAGGTTAATGACGTTACATATTTATTGACTGGAAACACAGCACTTGCAACTTTCCCTATATACAGCTAAAAGAGTTGAATTAAATTTGAATTGAATGGTTTTCATAATTTTCTGTCTCGGCCATACGCTGAACTGCGGAAATATTAACAATAAAAACTTTACAATTTAAATAAAGTCCATTCCGTTGAAATAACTAATACAACATTACAACAAAAAAACACACACATTTCAAATTTGATAAAAGCAGACGAGATATTACAACTGCTGTGCTATCCGTAGGTTCTTTTTGAAGTTCAGAATGTATATGAAGATAATGTTTAAAGAATTTCGTAACTATATTCTTCAAATATTCTGATCATTATTGTCCTTTGCTCCAGGGTGGGCCGAATCTAATTTGTATTTAATACTGTTTGCCGTTAACAAGAGAACAACCAATAAGCGCTTCCTTCTCAGCTAGAGGCAGGTGGTTGTTTAACATCCATATTGCTTACAGGAGTGATTTCGAAAGGGTCTTCTAATTTTTGTACACATATTTACAAATTAAGATTATCAAATAATTATCTTTTCTGATATATTATTTACACAATTCCTCCATGGTTGAAACGATCATCGGACTACTACGCTATCCACCGGTGAGTGTTTTCTACAAGTTATATAACTATAATATATAACTTCATTTTTGAGTAATAAATTATATTTTGCAAATTGCAAACCAAACCAGGGCTATTCGTAGGGAAACGAGATAGGTAAACCGTACAATTTTTTTTTTTTTTTTTTTTTTTATAAATCTTATCAACTCCTCAAGCTTATTTACATTGTGCTCGACCCATGTTGGTCATCATTGTGAGATTCTTGCGATGCTGGATATGCCACTACAGGGTGAGTAAAAAAAAAACGAAACCCAAATTTCGGGACTATTGTTTTATAAACGTTCTGCATTGTAGCGTTTTCAAAATCTAGCATAAAAAAGCCCATTTCATACGCTGTCCTTTAATACAAGAATCATTCAAATCAATTATGTACTTTTCAAGTTACGGAATTTTAAACACAACCACCGTTTTAAGGTTCTGGCCACGGATAACAACAAAGTTCAGTGTTCTTTCAGCAAAACGAAAACAAATGACATGGGAATATGTGTGAATTGATTTGGTTTGGTGAAAGAACGCACACCTTTTGTTTGTGATCCATGGACAGAACCTTAAAACGGTGGTTGTGTTTAAAATAAATTCGAAGACCCTCTCGAAATCATGGAAGCAATATGGAGGTTGAAAAACCAACCGCCTCTAGCTGAGAAGGAAGCGCATATTGGTTGTTCTCTTGTTAACGGCAAACATTATTAAATACACATTAGATTCGGCCCACCCTGGAGCAAAGATCAATAATGATCAGAATATTTTAAGAATATATATAAATTTGTGTGTTTTTTTTGGTAATGTTGTAGTAGTTATTTCAACGGAATGGACTTTATTTCAATTGTAAAGTTTTTATTGTTAATATTTCTGCAATTCGGCGTATGGCTGAGACAGAAAATTATGAAAACCATTGAATTCAAATTTAATTCAATTCTTTTAGCTGTATACAGGACCAAGTTGCAAGTGCTGTGTTTCCAGTCAATAAATATGTAACGTCATTAACCTCCAGTCAGAGAGAAGGAGGATGGGTATAATCCGGTATAATCCTGTCGGTCGAACCGCGGCCTTGTGCTTTTCTTTAGTTAGGAATTATACATTTTAATTTTAATGAGTTTACGGTAAAATATTTCCACAATTCAGCGTATGGTCTTGACAGAATTTAAATAGACCCTTCAATTCAAATTGTAATTCAACTCAATAAAGGGCCAAGTTGAAAATACAGTCAAAAAATGTAACGACATCAAACAGAAAGAAGATCGGTTACCGATAACCCTGTCTGCCCAACTGGGCTTTGTACTTCTCTTGAGCTTGGAATATTACATTTTGTATTTTATCATTTTGATCATACATCCCGCAATTCGGCGTATGGCCGCGACAGAATATTCAATAATGATATCGAAAACAGTTGCACTTTTATATACGTGCATGTCGTAGTTCACACTCACCTTACACCTATACAAAAGTGCACATTTTTTTCGGTACAATTTGTCATCAATTGCATAATTTTGTACACATTATCACTGTTTAGAGCCAACAAAAAGTATGGCTGGATTGCTAAGGATTTTTGGTACTGATCAGTCGTAACTTGAGCAAGATTGGCCCAGTAGTTTTTGAGTTAGACAGACAAGTATTAAGGGGGACTTAATAGTAAAACAAATATAACTGCGCCTCGGGAACTAGTTTGTCAACTTCCAATACCTCGGAAAGCGAATATCGACTGTCCCACCTCAAACACATGTTATATTTTAAACTATTTCAAAGGTCTGGTTGAAAAAAAAATAATAATGTCGTTCCCGAGAAAAGACGGGAAAAAACCTGGTAGGTTACACTGTGTTTCGCGCACGTTCGCAGAATACGATGCACTGTGCGGCAGCATTCACAAATAGCACCCAACAGCTCGATTTAAGAGAGTCCAAATTTTGACCCACGAAATTCGAACGCATGGTTTCTGCACAAATAGGTTTTTAAACGGTGGTTGTGTGGAAGTTTATATCCTACTTTAAATGCTCCTTGGCCTTTCATTAACGTCCTTTCGTTTAAAAAATGCGTTTTGTAGCCCAATTGGGATATTCCAGGCGATAACGTCCTTTCATGGTCGGATTTAAGGGATCACGCAGTTCCACTTCTACGAGGTTTTATTCCATCCTCCATCTGAAAATTAAACGATTGTTGGTCGAAAAGACACAAAAAGTCAAAGTCGAATAATATTGCATTCTGAAATCAGAACTTACCAGCTGACGCTTGGATGGTTGCGACGATAAGCAAAAAGGATATGAAGAGCGCCATGGTCCTGCCTTGAAAATCGTCGAGAAATCCCGCTGTAGCCCTGTCAATTAAACGATCCGGCTACGCACAGGCAACACTCTGCTCCGAGCTTCAATCTAGGAGCGGTCTGGGCATGTTACCGAGGCGACACAACATATATTGTGGCTTAGATCCCAAAACCCCGCCCCCGTCGTCTGTGATAGACAGCTCCATATGTGATTGCCACGCATGTGCAGAGCATGCGACTCCGGATC